ATAGTAAGATTTTTATCCCTTGTATAAACATCCTCATCACATTGCACTGATGATCTAGTCTGGTGAATCTTTGTTACCTTAATTACGTTTGCTGGATTTTGTGATGTTCTACACTGACGACACCCTTAAAGGGTGAAGGGCCTTGATTCACTGAAGGGCTAGTGAAGGGCTCTTCATTCACGGAATTTAAGCGACGTTCCTTTTCCTTGCATGAAACCGAATTATTTTTCATTTCTCAAGCGATGAATGACCCTTTATTGATTAAAGCTTTCCATTAATATAACAATAATAATAATTATAATAACTATAATAATAATATACTGACGATGGAGTTCGGAACTGAAAGTGCATTTCTTTATTATGCTCTCATTTATGCATGGACAGGTGAGGACTAACTCTAAAGCGCGAGGGAAGTTAAATAGAGACTAACTACTTGAAAGGAGATAGCTACACAAACGTGGGCACCCCTACACTCGGCCCACACACACACACACACACACACACACACACACACACACACACACACACACACACACACACACACACACACACCAGGAGTGTCTATCGAGATGTGCCTTTTACAAATGCTATAACTAACAACCTTCAAAGTGTAGGCTCCTCCAGAGATTAAGTCCGGATAACCAATTTCCCTGAATCCCTTCACAAATGTTACCCTGCACACATTCTATCAGCACGTCAAGTCAAAACACCCACTTACCTCCACTCTTTCCCATCTAACACTCATGACAGGGAGTTTAGAGAGAACAGGGGGGAGGGTTAAACCCTCCTTGTTCCCTCCCAACAATCCTCGAACGACCCCTACCCTTTCTTTCCTCCTCCGCCGAGTCATTGTAGTCTAATTCCTCTCTAAACCTCCATACCACGTTAACAATCCCTTCCAAACTCTGGATTCTGTGCATAATATTCACACCATGCATTGCCCCACCGCCGAGCTGCAACATTTAAAACTTATCCTTCCCAACCATAAAAAGTGTTGGTACCACTGTACGCTGGTACATTACCATTTTTCTCTATTCATATAGTTCTTTGTCTCCAGAAATGTCTCGATGCACCACTCTCATTTTTTCCCCTCTCCAATTCTACGGTTCGCCTCATCTTTCATAGACCCGTCCAACCACAAGTTCACCCACAAATATCTAAACATATTCTCTCCCTCCAATGTGATATACAGTTTTTCATATATATATTTTTATTTTTGCTCTCATCCCTTTGCTCTTTCCTATGCTTATTTTTAGTTTCGTTCTTTTACATACATTAACATAAGAACATAAGAAAGGAGGAACACTGCAGCAACAGTCGGGTATTACGAATTACTTCGAGATCATGGACTATGTAGTTTTGAGGGAAGGAAGAAGATATTTACTGCTAAATTTCCTGGGTTGTGGGGTAGAGTTCAGTTGGGTTGACTGAAACACGTACAGAAGTTCTGTTTCCGAAGCCCTGTTGCTCAAGCGGTAGAGCCCTGGACCTATCAGTCTCGAGACCACAGTTTGAGCCTCCCGTCCCACACACACACACACACACACACATATATATATATATGTCGTGCCGAATATGTAAAACTGGTCAGTTAGCAAGAACTCATTTAAAATTAAAACCTTTCTAAAATTTTCTCTGACGTTTAAAGATATATTTTTTTCATTAATGTTAATGTAAAAAATTTTAATTTTGCTCCAAAAGAATCTTAGAAAACTTACCTAACCTTATTATAACAAGAACAACTTATTTTAGCCTAACCCAACTAAATATATTTTAGATTTGTTAACAATAATTTAATACTAAACAAACACAGTAAAAAATATTTTTTTCGTTAGGTTCAGAATGATTTTGGCGAAATTATTGCATACACAAATTTTCACTTGTCCTATATGGCAAAGATGCGTTGCTATTTAAGCCAAGATCGCAAGTTCTGCCTATTCGGCACGACATATAATATATATATATTATATATATATTATATATATAATATATATATATATATTATTATATATAATATATATATTATATATATATATATATTATTATATTTTTTTTTTATTATCACACTGCCGATTCCCACCAAGGCAAGGTGGCCCGAAAAAGAAAAACTTTCACCATCATTCACTCCATCACTGTCCTGCCAGAGGTGCTTTACACTACATTTTTAACTGCAACATTAACACCCCTCCTTCAGAGTGCAGGCACTGTACTTCCCATCTCCAGGACTCAAGTCCGGCCTGCCGGTTTCCTCTGAACCCCTTCATAAATGTTACTTTGCCACCACTCCAACAGCACGCCCAAGTATTAAAAACCATTTGCCCTCCATTCACTCCTATAAAAACACGCTTACGCATGCCTGCTGGTGTCCAAGCACCTCGCACACAAAACTTCCTTTACCCCCTCCCTCCAAACTTTCCTAGGCCGACCCCTACCCCCCCTTTCCCCTTCTATTACAGACTGATACACTCTTGAATCACTCTGTTTCGCTCCATTCTCTCTACATGTCCGAACCACCTCAACAACCCTTCCTCAGCCCTCGGGAAAAAACATTTTTTGGTAATCCCGCACCTCCTCCTAACTTCCAACTACGAATTCTCTGCATTATATTCACACCACACATTGCCCTCAGACATGACATCTCCACTGCCTCCGCCTTCTCCTGCTGCAACATTCATCACCCATGCTTCACACCCATATAAGACGTTGGTAAAACTATACCTCATACATTGCCCTCTTTACCTCCAAGGACAAAGTCCTTTGTCTCCACAGACTCCTAAGTGCACCACTCACCCCTTTTCCCCTTTATCAATTCTATGATTCACCTCATCTTTCATAGACCCATCCGCTGACACGTCCACTCCCAAATATCTGAATACATTCATCTCCTACAAACTCTCTCCCTCCAATCTGATATCCCATCTTTCATCACCTAATCTTTTTATCCTCATAACCTCACTCTTTCCTGTATTCACTTTTAATTTTCTTCTTTTGCACACCCTACCAAATTCATCCACCAATCTCTGCAACTTCTCTTCAGAATCTCCCAAGAGCACAGTGTCATCAGCAAAGAGCAACTGTGACAACTCCCACTTTATGTGCGATTCTTTATCTTTTAACTCCACGCCTCTTGCCAAGACCCTCGCATTTACTTCTCTTACAACATATCTATAAATATATTAAACAACCATGGTGACATCACACATCCTCGTCTAAGGCCTACTTTTACTGGGAAATAATTTCCCTCTTTCCTACATACTCTAACTTGAGCCTCACTATCCTCGTAAAAACTCTTCACTGCTTTCAGTAACCTACCTCCTACACCATACACCTGCAACATCTGCCACATTGCCCCCCTATCCACCCTGTCATACGCCTTTTCCAAATCCATAAATGCCACAAAGACCTCTTTAGCCTTATCTAAATACTGTTCACTTATATGTTTCACTGTAAACACCTGGTCCACACACCCCCTACCTTTCCTAAAGCGTCCTTGTTCATCTGCTATCCTATTCTCCGTCTTACTCTTCATTCTTTCAATAATAACTCTACCATACACTTTACCAGGAATGTAGAGGAGAGAGATTTTGGGAGATGTTAAGTGAATGTATAGGAGCCTTTGAACCAAGTGAGAGAGTAATTGTGGTAGGGGATCTGAATGCTAAAGTAGGAGAAACTTTTAGAGGGTGTGGTAGGTAAGTTTGGAGTGCCAGGTGTAAATGATAATGGGAGCCCTTTGACTGAACTTTGTATATATATATATATATATATATATATATATATATATATATATATATATATATATATATATATTATATATATATATATATATATATATATTATATTAGGATGTCGTGATGCCCTGTCTAGTTGGGCCAGCGGGCCTACTGCAGTGTTGCTCTTTTCTTATGAGTCGGGTGTCGTCGCGCATCAGGTGTTGCTTTGTTGTGGCATGTCATGGTGAAGTGTGGTCTAGGCCCTTTATATGCCTTCCTTTGATGTATTACTTTTATAGTACCTTGATAATGTGAGAAGTCACGAAAGCGCTTGAAATTCACTATTCTTTCACAGTGGTTGTTTTGCATATTTTGAAATCACCTGTTTACTGTGATCTTATTGCATATGTATATATATATTATATATATATATATATATATATATATATATATATATATAAAATATATATATATATATATATATATGAGCATAAACCTAATTCATAGACGACGCCTACCTGAAAATAAAAGGTATATAGCAGACTTGGAAACAGTGCCAAAATAAAATTGGTCATAAATACACTAGTAGCCGGCAAAAGCTCTCGCTTCACATGGTGAGTGTCCGGGTTCGATTCCTGGCGGAGGGGTGAAAACATTGGACGAGTTTCCTTACACCGGCTGTTTATGTTCATTCATCAGTAAAATGAGTACCTGGGTGTTAGTCGACTGGTGTGGGTCGCATCCTGGGACAAACCTGACCTAATTTGCTCGAAATGCTCTGCATAACAAGCAGCTTTCTATGTAGTAGTATGTCATTGATGTCAGCTAGGCCTACATACCTTGTACTTGTAGTAAATAAAGATATTATTATTGTACAGTTGTTTTTATCAGGAGTCAGTGTGATATTGAAGAACCTAGACCGCAAACTACCACCAAGTTGGTTGTAGCACAAGTATGAAACCTATCGAGTAGGGTCACTAAGGGTACATGTCGCTTGCACATAAGTAGCCAACGATAAGTTGGCTTCCGAATCAAGTGACAAGTCTCGAGTCAAATGTCACAGGTTCCGAGTCAAGTGTCACAGGTTCCGAGTCAAGTGTCACAGGTTCCGAGTCAAGTGTCACAGGTTCCGAGTCAAGTGTCACAGGTTCCGAGTCAAGTGTCACAGGTTCCGAGTCAAGTGTCACAGGCAACAAGTGAAGTACTGGAGGTCCCTAGTCACGAGTAGCAGGTCAAGTCTCCAGAGTTAAGTCTCATGTGACTGGTTCGCATCAGCGCCTGTGATCAGTTTCGTGTGCGTGTGAGCACTCGCCTACATGTGGTTTCAGCGGTTGAGTCACAGCTCCTGGCTCTGCCAACATCACCTGTACCACCAGCACATCAACACTGTACCACCAGTACCTCACCACCACTGTACCACCGGTACATCACTACCACTGTATCACAAGCACCTGATTACTACTGTATCACCAGTGCCTGATTACCACAATATCACCAGTACCTCGCCACCACCGTGCCACCAGTAGCTCATTACCACTGTACCACCAGTACCTCACCACCACTGTACTACCAGTACATCACCATCACTGTACCACCAGTACCTCACAACTTCTGTACCACCGGCACTTCACAATCACTGTACCACAAGTACTTCACAATCACTGTACCACCAGTACATCACAATCACTGTACCACCAGTACTTCAATCACTGTACCACCAGTACATCACAATCACTGTACCACCAGTACGTCACAACCACTGTACCACCAGTACGTCACAACCACTGTACCACCAGTACGTCACAACCACTGTACCACCAGTACGTCACAACCACTGTACCACCAGTACGTCACAACCTCTGTACCACCAGTACGTCACAACCACTGTACCACCGGTACGTCATAACCACTTTACCACAAGTACATCACAATCACTGTACCACCAGTACATCACAATCACTGTACCACCAGTACATCACAATCACTATACCACCAGTACGTCACAATCACTGTACCACCAGTACATCACAATCACTATACCACCAGTACGTCACAATCACTGTACCACCAGTACATCACAATCACTGTACCACCACTTCACAATCACTGTACCACCAGTACATCACAATCACTGTACCACCACTTCACAATCACTGTACCACCAGTACATCACAATCACTGTACCACCACTTCACAATCACTGTACCACCAGTACATCACAATCACTGAACCACCAGTACATCACAATCACTGTACCACCAGTACTTCACAATCACTGTACCACCAGTACACAATCACTGTACCACCAGTACGTCACAACCACTGTACCACCAGTACGTCACAACCACTGTACCACCAGTACATCACAATCACTGTACCACCAGTACATCACAATCACTGTACCACCAGTACATCACAACCACTGTGCCACCAGTACGTCACAACCACTGTGCCACCAGTACGTCACAACCACTGTACCACCAGTACGTCACAACCACTGTACCACCAGTACATCACAATCACTGTACCACCAGTACATCACAATTGTACCACCAGTACGTCACAACCACTGTACCACCAGTACGTCATAACCACTGTACCACAAGTACATCACAATCACTGTACCACCAGTACGTCACAACCACTGTACCGCCAGTACTTCACAATCATTGTACCAGTGCTTCACAATCACTACCACTACATCACAATCACTGTACCGCCAGCACTTCACGATCACTGTACCACCAGTACATCACAATCACTGTACCACCAGTACATCACAATCACTGTACCACCAGTACATCACAATCACTGTACGACCACTTCACAATCACTGTACCACCAGTACATCACAATCACTGTACCACCAGTACTTCACATCCACTGTACCACCAAAACATCACAATCACTGTACCACAAGTACATCACAATCACTGTACCACCAGTACTTCACAACCACTGTACCACCAGCACATCACAATCACTGTACCACCAGTACTTCACAACCACTGTACAACAAGTACATCACAATCACTGTAACACCAGTACATCACAATCACTGTACCACCAGTACGTCACAATCACTGTACCACCAGTACATCACAATCACTGTACCACCAGTACATCACAACCACTGTACCACCAGTACTTCACAACCACTGTACCACCAGTACGTCACAACCACTCTGCCACCAGTACGTCACAACCACTGTACCACCAGTACATCACAATCACTGTACCACCAGTACTTCACAACCACTGTACAACAAGTACATCACAATCACTGTACCACCAGTACTTCACAACCACTGTACCACCAGTAAATCACAATCACTGTACCACCAGTACGTCACAATCACTGTACCACCAGTACATCACAATCACTGTACCACCAGTACTTCACAACCACTGTACAACAAGTACATCACAATCACTGTACCACCAGTACTTCACAACCACTGTACCACCAGTAAATCACAATCACTGTACCACCAGTACGTCACAATCACTGTACCACCAGTACATCACAATCACTGTACCACCAGTACGTCACAACCACTGTAACACCAGTACGTCACAACCACTGTACCACCAGTACATCACAACCACTGTACCACCAGTACGTTACAACCACTGTTCCACCAGTACGTCACAACCACTGTACCACCAGTACGTCACAACCACTGTACCACCAGTACGTCACAACCACTGTACCACCAGTACGTCACAATCACTGTACCACCAGTACGTCACAACCACTGTACCACTAGTACTTCGCTGTTCCACCAGTACCTCGCCACCACTGTACCACTCGTACCTCGCCACCACTGTACCACCAGTACCTCTCCTCCACTGTACCACCCGTACCTCACCCCCACTGTACCACCAGTATCCCGTCACTGTACCGCCAGTATATCGCCAAAACTGTACCACCAGCACCTCACCACCACTGCACCACAAGTACCCCACCACTGCACCACTAGTACCCACCACTGCACCACCAGTACCCCACCACAGTACCACCAGTATCTCGCCGCCACTGTGCCTCCAGTACTTCGACATCACTGTACCACCGTTCGACACCACTGTACCACCCGTACTTCGCTACCACTGTACCACCGATACCTTGCCACCATTGTACCACTAGAACCTCACCACCTCTTTACTACCAGTACCTCACCACTGCACCACCATTACCTCGCCACGAATGTGTCACCAGTACTTCACAACTGTACCAACAGTACTTCACAACTGTACCACCAGTACCACACCTCCACTGTTCCACCAGTACCTCACCACCACTGCACCGCTAGTACCTCGTCCCTACTGTACAACCAGTCCTTCACTGTATCACCAATGCCTCACCAGTGTACCACCAGTACCTAGAAACCACTGTACCACTAGTACCTTGCCACCTCTGTACCACCAGTACCTCAGCTCCACTGTACCACCATTACTTGTCCACCATTGTACCACCAATACTTCACAACTGCACCACCATTACCTCACCCCAACACTGTACCACCAGTACCTCACCACAGCTGCACCACCAGCACCTCACCCCCTACATTACCACCAGTACCTCACCAACACTGTACCACCAGCACCTCACCCCTACCGCACCACTAGTTCCTTACTACCACTAACACTTATGCTTCAAAACCAATGTACCAACAGTACCTAATCCCCACTGTACAATCACTTCTCTACCGCTGCTACATTGGTCCACTAATTCTACAAACACCACTACTATCCCACTTTCGCTTCTCTACTTCTCCATAAGTATTATACCACACCACCACAGTACCACAAAATACACCACTCTGCCATTACTAAACTCACCCACAATTATTATAATCAAAACCAGGAGCTAAGCCAACCCACCCACAAAATCACATGTAAATCACTACATAATATTTAAACCATCACTATGAAGATAACAGGTAATACGATAACCTAACGCACCACCAGGTGTTGCAGAGTCTCGGCTCTCACCAAGCTTAACCCAGCACACGATGATGCTAGGTCAGTATTGCAACAGCTTTCATAATGTAAGCATTCTCGTTTCTATTTATCTGATAAAAAACATTACAGATACGTAAGTGTTGAAGCTATTTACCTGTTTTCAGTTATACAGGTTTGAGATAATTTACGCTTAATATCCAAATTAAATTTTAATATTTCTCTAAGTGCTTATTTATGTATATGACACTTAGAGCTTAAATACACTTCGGTAAAAATTCATTCAGATGACGGCCAGAGTTCAGCGAAATGAGGTTCTCTTGATCTCTAGAGCTCAGTTAGAAATGAGTTAATATTTTAAGATACACACCTGAGTATATCAAAGTTTGTATTTGGCTCATAAGCTGAAGAAAGATTTATGGTGTTCTCGATATTTTAAAATTTTAAATGATTGATTTCCATCCATGAGTGTGTGTACCATCCATGAGTGTGTACCATCCACGAGTGTGACTGTACCATCCATGAATGTACCATCCACGAGTGTGGGTGTACCATTCACGAGTGTGGGTGTACCATTCACGAGTGTGGGTGCACCATTCACGAGTGTGGGTGCACCATCCACGAGTGTGGGTGCACCATCCACGAGTGTGGGTGCACCATCCACGAGTGTGGGTGCACCATCCACGAGTGTGGGTGCACCATCCACGAGTGTGGGTGCACCATCCACGAGTGTGGGTGCACCATCCACGAGTGTGGGTGCACCATCCACGAGTGTGGGTGTACCATCCACGAGTGTGGGTGTACCATCCACGAGTGTGGGTGTACCATCCACGAGTGTGGGTGTACCATCCACGAGTGTGGGTGTACCATCCACGAGTGTGGGTGTACCATCCACGAGTGTGGGTGTACCATCCACGAGTGTGGGTGTACCATCCACGAGTGTGGGTGTACCATCCACGAGTGTGGGTGTACCATCCACGAGTGTGGGTGTACCATCCACGAGTGTGGGTGTACCATCCACGAGTGTGGGTGTACCATCCACGAGTGTGGGTGTACCATCCACGAGTGTGGGTGTACCATCCACGAGTGTGGGTGTACCATCCACGAGTGTGGGTGTACCATCCACGAGTGTGGGTGTACCATCCACGAGTGTGGGTGTACCATCCACGAGTGTGGGTGTACCATCCACGAGTGTGGGTGTACCATCCACGAGTGTGGGTGTACCATCCACGAGTGTGGGTGTACCATCCACGAGTGTGGGTGTACCATCCACGAGTGTGGGTGTACCATCCACGAGTGGGTGTACCATCCACGAGTGTGGGTGTACCATCCACGAGTGTGGGTGTACCATCCACGAGTGTGGGTGTACCATCCACGAGTGTGGGTGTACCATCCACGAGTGTGGGTGTACCATCCACGAGTGTGGGTGTACCATCCACGAGTGTGGGTGTACCATCCACGAGTGTGGGTGTACCATCCACGAGTGTGGGTGTACCATCCACGAGTGTGGGTGTACCATCCACGAGTGTGGGTGTACCATCCACGAGTGTGGGTGTACCATCCACGAGTGTGGGTGTACCATCCACGAGTGTGGGTGTACCATCCACGAGTGTGGGTGTACCATCCACGAGTGTGGGTGTACCATCCACGAGTGTGGGTGTACCATCCACGAGTGTGGGTGTACCATCCACGAGTGTGGGTGTACCATCCACGAGTGTGGGTGTACCATCCACGAGTGTGGGTGTACCATCCACGAGTGTGGGTGTACCATCCACGAGTGTGGGTGTACCATCCACGAGTGTGGGTGTACCATCCACGAGTGTGGGTGTACCATCCACGAGTGGGTGTACCATCCACGAGTGTGGGTGTACCATCCACGAGTGTGGGTGTACCATCCACGAGTGTGGGTGTACCATCCACGAGTGTGGGTGTACCATCCACGAGTGTGGGTGTACCATCCACGAGTGTGGGTGTACCATCCACGAGTGTGGGTGTACCATCCACGAGTGTGGGTGTACCATCCACGAGTGTGGGTGTTCCATCCACGAGTGTGGGTGTACCATCCACGAGTGTGGGTGTACCATCCGCGAGTGTGACTATACCATCCATTTGAGCTATAATATCCCGTAGTTCGATCGCTAGCGCACTTAGCTCACACACTGAGGTCCCGGGGTCGATCTCATGTACGGCTGGAAAACATTAAGACGTGTTTCCTTAAGACACCTCCTGTCCATGTTCACCTATCAGTAAAATTGGTACCTGGATGGTAGTCGACTGGTGTGGGTCGCATCCTGTGGACAAAACTGACCTAATTTGCCAGAAATGCTCTGCATAACAAGCTGCTTTCTATACAGTAGTATGTCCTTGATATCAGCTATGGTCTGTATAACGTGTAGAAATAAAGATCTATTATTATCATCCATGAGTCTGAGTGTACCATCCATGAGACTTACTGTACCGTCCACGAGTGTGAGTGTACCATCCATGAGTGTACCATCCATGTACATTGTATAATTTCGTTTATTTTTCGCTATTTACAACCAGTGTAATGTACAGCAGCGGTACAAGATGCGCCAGATGTACAACCCGAGGTAGTGGCGCTGGAGGCTGCGCCAGCCTGGTGGTGCGCTCGCTGGTCTTCACCAAGGCTGCGCTGCGCCAGTTGTAAGGTGAGACACCGGTGTGTTCCTGAAGTATACCTGAAGTGTCCTCTTTGTTTATAGCCTAATAGTTCACAATACGAATAGGTTAATATTTTCTTGCATAATAATTAAAATCTCATTAGATAATATTTTCACGGGAAATGCTTATTAACTCGGTCGAGAGCTCATGATGCGCGAAGAATGGGAAGCAATTTGGTTTGATCCAGTGAAGTGGAAGCTAGATCGATTTTCCCCTAGACGAAGAACACACAGCTAAGTCATCGATTTTGTCATGAAATGGTAGAGTATTTACAAAAAAATCATATCTATACCTAACGTTAGAGGCCTATGATCTAAATTCGTATACGTATATGCTTACCTTTCTAGGAGTCTCCTTACAGGTAATTCGGTAATTAGTTACCTGGAGGTAACTAGTTACCTGAATAATAGTCAACTATTGTCAGTAATGTCCTGTAGGTGACAATATTCCTTAACGCTCGGTTTTAAGTTATTATTTTCTTGGAAGAACTAAAACCGTGTAATTGATACAGTGCCTGGCGAATAAGAGGTACTATGGAAATAAATGATATAAAATACCGACACAATGGAAATATAAACACAAATGCAGTATAATGTGATCCTTTATTGACAACGTTTCACCCACACAGTGGGCTTTTTCAAGTCACACACAGATCCGTGTGTGACTTGAAAAAGCCCACTGTGTGGGTGAAACGTTGTCAATAAAGGATCACAGGTAAGGCATGGGGCACTGTAGCACCATAGGTAAGACACAGGCTACGGGGCACCGTAGCACCATAGGTAAGACAACAGTCAAGGACCAGGTAATCAGGCTGAGGAATGAAGGTGGGGAGCTCACAGGAAACGACCAGGAAGAATGTGAGGAGCTCAACATGAGATTTCAGGAAGTATTTACAGTGGAGGCTGAAGGGACACTGGGAAGACAAAACAGTGGGGTACATCAACAAGGGATATACCAAAAGTGTTGGATGAATTACACACAACTGAGGAGGAGGTGGAGAAGCTCCTAAGTGACCTTGATGCCTCAAAGGTGGTGGGACCGGACATCTCTCCGTGGGTCCTTAGAGAGAGAGCAGAGACACTATGTGTGCCACTAACCAAAATCTTCAACACTTCCCTTGAAACTGGGCAACTACCTGAAGTTTGGAAGAAGGCAAATGTAGTCCCCATCTTTAAGAGAGGAAACAGAAATGAAGCACTAAATTATAGACCAGTGTCACTGACGTGTACAGTATGCAAAGTCTTGGAGAAGATTATCAGGGGGAGAGTGGTGGAGCACCTGGAGCAGAACAAGATTATGAACGACAGCCAGCATGGATTCATGGAGGGCAAATCCTGTGTCACAAACCTACTAGAGTTTTATGACAAGGTAACTGAAGTAAGAAACGAGAGGGAGGGGTGGGTTGATTACATTTTCTTGGACTGCAAGAAGGCCTTCGACACAGTTCCTCACAAGAGATTAGTACAGAAGCTAGAGGAACAGGTACATATAACAGGAAGGGCACTGCAATGAATCAGAGAATACCTAACAGGGAGGCAACAGCAAGCCATGGCCCATGACGAGGTATCACAGTGGGCGCCGGTGACGAGCGGGGTCCCACAGGGGTCAGTCCTGGGGCCAGTGCTATTCTTGGTATATGTGAACGACATGGCGGAAGGGATAGACTCAGAAGTGTCCCTGTTTACAGATAATGTGAAGTTAATGAGGAGAATTAAATCAGATGCAGACCAGACAGGTCTACAAAGAGACCTGGACAGGCTGGATGCGTGGTCCAGCAACTGGCTCCTAGAATTTAACCCCACCAATGCAGTCATGAAGATCGGAGAAGGGCAAAGAAGACCGCAGACAGAGTATAGGCTAGGAGGCCAAAGACTGCAAACCTCACTCAAGGAGAAAGATCTAGGAGTGAGTATAATACTGAATACATTGCCAGAAGCACACATTAACCAGATAACTGCTGCGGCATATGAGTGCCTGGCAAACCTGAGAATAGCATTCCAGTACCTAAGTAAGGAATCGTTCAAGACTTTATACACTGTGTACGTCAGCCCCATACTGGAATACTCAGCACCAGATTGGAACCCACACCTGGTCAAACACATCAAGAAATTAGAGAAAGTGCAAAGGTTTGCAATAAGACTGGTTCTAGAGCTAAGGGGAATGTCCTATGAAGAAAGGTTAAGGGAAATCGGTCTGACGACACTGGAGGACAGGAGGGTCCGGGAGACATGATAACGACATACAAAATACTGGGCAGAATAGACAAGGTGGACAGAGACAGGATGTTCCAGAGATGGGACACAGAAATAAGGGGTCACAATTGGAAGCTGAAGACTCAGATGAGTTGTTGAGAAATGTTTTACCAGCTAAGATATAGTTTAAATATAGGGAATACTTAGCTGATAAAAGACAGCAAATCGTCTACACAGCCGCCCCTGCAGACGAGGTCTTGAATTGTTGTCATGATCATCTCTCAACGGGCTGTAATAGATCATATTATGTAAACAATAAATTACCCCTTGGGGGTGTTATGTTGTCATGTGGGTTTTCGATAACGTGGATAGGTAAAAATACTCACGTAGGCTGGTAGTATGTATAATATATAACGGGAAGTGCCAACAGCCAACCTGCCTCTCTCTGCTCCCTATCTTCAACTGACCCACAAGTGCCTACAGGGTGAGGGGTGTTTGAAATCCTGCTATGGTCAGCAGCAATATGAATAACAGTGATTCTCACAGACGGTTGCTAGTGAGTCATCTGCATTTGTGTTCATATTTCCAAGAGGTACTATGTTTGATTCAGAGAAACGGAAGACTTGTTTTAATTCTTTCAATAGAGAGATGAGCTGAAGTTAGAGGTTCTGATCTTATAAATGAACGAAATGAAATATTTACACTTATGCTTCATATTCTAAACTTTATTTGCATTTCCGTGTCTTATTCACGTGTGTGAGTGATTTTCTTATCAATTTGTTGTCTTGCAGCAAGGGAACATATACAACTACGTGAGCACATGTCAGATAGTGTTGATAGTGTGTCTGGGTCTAGCAGGCTGCCTGGTGCTCGGTGTCTGCGCCTACATGGCCCTCGCCAAGAATCGATGCTCTGTCTGCTCCTACACCCGCAGGAAGACAATTATAAACTCATGGTTGTTCAAGAAACAAAACTTAGAAGGTATCACCTTTCTTCCTTTCCCTACAGTGCGAGAGCTCCTCCCTCTTGCTTTATTACTGCTGTTATTAATATAATTTATTACTATATTCATGGGGAAGGGGCAAGGGTTCATACAGCGCCCGGATAATGGGTGATTATCAGGTTTGATCCGAGAATGGGGAGGGTAGCTCTATTTTCACTAACATCAAGGTACCCCCCCTCGCCCGTCCCCCGCAAGGACCTCGGTGTGACAGTTGACTGAGCACGACGTAGATCCAAATACCTTCTTCTCGGGCGGCAAAAAACAACATACTATACACAGTATGATGAGGCAAACAGCGCATGCCACTTAATTAAATCTCGACGTTTAGTAATTTTGATCATAGGCAAGTGAAAAGGACCTTGGTGAACCTGCTCCTCCTCAGAAGCCCCCTGGTTACTGTATTCACGAACTGTGCCAAACTCGCTTGGGTTTTAGAGATGAAACCTCTGGTCATGACAGTATACTGGCAGTGTAGTTCTCAATGTGACTCTCCCTCACTCACTCTCACCTTCAGTACTGATGCTATGATTACTTCAATGAAAATTACTTGTTGCTCCACCTTCTACTCTCCCTTTGGCACTAGCTTCCTGCACACACCTTGGCACTAGCTTCCTGCACACACCTTGGCACTAGCTTCCTGCACACGCCTTGGCACTAGCTTCCTGCACACACCTTGGCACTAGCTTCCTGCACACACCTTGGCACTAGCTTCCTGCACACACCTTGGCACTAGCTTCCTGCACACGCCTTGGCACTAGCTTCCTGCACACACCTTGGCACTAGCTTCCTGCACACACCTTGGCACTAGCTTCCTGCACACACCTTGGCACTAGCTTCCTGCACACGCCTTGGCAATAGCTTCCAGCGCACGCCTTGACTCTAGCTTCCTGCACACACCTTGGTATTAGCGTCCTGCACACACCTTTGCACTAGCTTCCTGCATACACCATGGCAATAGCTTCCTACACTTTGCTTGGCACTAGCTTCCTGCACTCGCCTTAGCACTAGCTTCTTGCACACACCTTGGCACTAGCTTCCTGCACACGCCTTGGCACTAGCTTCCTGCACACACCTTGGCACTAGCTTCCTGCACACACCTTGGCACTAGCTTCCTGCACACACCTTGGCACTAGCTTCCTGCACACGCCTTGGCAATAGCTTCCAGCGCACGCCTTGACTCTAGCTTCCTGCACACACCTTGGTATTAGCGTCCTGCACACACCTTTGCACTAGCTTCCTGCATACACCATGGCACTAGCTTCCTGCACACACCTTGGCACTAGCTTCCTGCACACGCCTTGGCAATAGCTTCCTGCACACACCTTGGCACTAGCTTCCTGCACACACCTTGGCACTAGCTTCCTGCACACACCTTGGCACTAGCTTCCTGCACACACCTTGGCACTAGCTTCCTGCACACGCCTTGGCACTAGCTTCCTGCACACACCTTGGCACTAGCTTCCTGCACACACCTTGGCACTAGCTTCCTGCACACACCTTGGCACTAGCTTCCTGCACACGCCTTGGCACTAGCTTCCTGCACACACCTTGGCACTAGCTTCCTGCACACACCTTGGCACTAGCTTCCTGCACACACCTTGGCACTAGCTTCCTGCACACGCCTTGGCAATAGCTTCCAGCGCACGCCTTGACTCTAGCTTCCTGCACACACCTTGGTATTAGCGTCCTGCACACACCTTTGCACTAGCTTCCTGCATACACCATGGCAATAGCTTCCTACACTTTGCTTGGCACTAGCTTCCTGCACTCGCCTTAGCACTAGCTTCTTGCACACGCCTTGGTACTAGCTTACTGCACACATCTTGGCACTAGCTTCCTGCACACACCTTGGCACTAGCTTCCTGCACACGCCTTGGCACTAGCTTCCTGCACACGCCTTGGCACTAGCTTCCTGCACACGCCTTGGTACTAGCTTCCTGCACACACCTTGGCACTAGCTTCCTGCACACGCCTTGGCACTAGCTTCCTGCACACGCCTTGGTACTAGCTTCCTGCACACACCTTGGTACTAGCTTCCTGCATACACCATGGCAATAGCTTCCTACACACACCTTGGCACTAGCTTCCTGCACTCGCCTTAGCACTAGCTTCTTTCACACGCCTTGGCACTAGTTTCCTGCACACATCTTGGTACTAGCTTCCTGCACACAAATTGGTGCTAGCTTCCTGCACATACCTTGGTACTAGCTTCCTGCACACACACCTTGGTACTAGCTTCCTGCACACACCTTGGTATTAGCGTTCTGCACACACCTTGGCACTAGCTTCCTGCACTCACATTGGTACTAGCTTCTTGCAAACGCCTTGGCACTAGCTTCTTGCACACGCCTTGGCACTAGCTTCTTGCACACGCCTTGGTACTAGCTTCCTGCACACGCCTTGGTACTAGCTTCCTGCACACGCCTTGGTACTATCTTCCTGCACACATCTTGGTACTAGCTTCCTGCACTCACATTGGTATTAGCGTCCTGCACACACCTTGGCACTAGCTTTCTGCATACACCATAGCAATAGCTTCCTACACTTTGCTTGGCACTAGCTTCCTGCACTCGCCTTGGCACTAGCTTCTTGCACACGCCTTGGTACTCGCTTCCTGCACACACCTTGGTACTAGCTTCTTGCACACGCCTTGGTACTATCTTCCTGCACACACCTTGGTACTAGCTTCCTGCACACGCCTTGGCAATAACTTCCTGCACACGCCTTGGCAATAGCTTCCTGCACACACCTTGGCACTAGCTTTCTGCACACGCATTGGTACTAGCTTCCTGCATACACCTTGGCACTAGCTTCCTGCACACGCCTTGGTACTAGATTTCTGCACACGCCTTGGCACTAGCTTCCTGCACACGCCTTGGCACTAGCTTCCTGCACACGCCTTGGCACTAGCTTCCTGCACACGCCTTGGCACTAGCTTCCTGCACACGCCTTGGCACTAGCTTCCTGCACACGCCTTGGCACTAGCTTTCTGCACACGCCTTGGCACTAGCTTCCTGCACACGCCTTGGCACTAGCTTCCTGCACACGCCTTGGCACTAGCTTTCTGCACACACCTTGCCACTCACCTAATTCTGTACTTGCATTTTCTCTACCGCTTAGCGCTGTATTATCTCTTCAGATTGAGAACTTCGGTGATAATTAAAACTAAAACTTGTAATAAACGTGATTTCTTGTAGGAGACAGGTGAGAAAAGTATTTCTCGCATTAAATATAGTTTTTTTATATTTGCTAAAAACACTAAATCAGTCATCCAGCACAATTAACATAACAGCTGGAATGAGTGCTAATCTCTTCTCTAACATTACACTTCAAATCTAACTCTCAGTGGTTTTTTGTAGTATTAGTGGAAGATTCTGGCGTTTTTATTTTATCTAGGTTAACTAAGGAACTGGATTCCTATGTAAGTCACACTTTAAAGAGGAAGAGAAAAACAAGTGGTTATATTTATAACCATAGTTTTTAAAGGGGTGGACCGATAAGCTAGCGGAAGGCCTCGGTCAGATGACCAAAAGCTCCAGCTGCGCGTTATCCTATGACTAAGACCCGTGTCAGAAAACACTTTTCCTGTTTCCTGACAAAACTTACCTAATCTATGGAAGCTTCTGGTGAATAGACTCAAGTGGTACAAATCTTATCGTCTCCTCTTCTATCGACTTCTCTTCAGAAATTTCCTTCACTATTTCTGTTTTGTGATTTTCTTGTCACCTCTATGCTTGCCATATCTTCCGTTTTTCAACACTTTTTCTTTCTCTAACGTGACTTGATAACGATCAAACCTGATTTTCTTTCCACAAAAGCTGTTTAACCCTTACGGGTTTATCGATTTCCCAAATATATGTTATAAAACAAACTTTGATCCGCCAGCTGTGCCAGTGCCTGTGGTGGTTTATTAGCCTAAGGTGGGGACTAATGTGGAGCTAGCATCGCTCTGGGACAGTCTTCGTTGTGGTGCTAGTATCGCCCTGGAAGAGTCTTCGTTGTGGTGCTAGCATCGCTTTGGGACAGTCTTCGTTGTGGTGCTAGCATCGCTCTGGAACAGTCTTCGTTGTGGTGCTAGTATCGCCCTGGAAGAGTCTTCGTTGTGGTGCTAGCATCGCTTTGGGACAGTCTTCGTTGTGGTGCTAGCATCGCTCTAGAACAGTCTTCGTTGTGGGATTAACATCACTCTCAGGCAGTCTTGGTTGTGACGCTGACATCGCTCTGGACGCCGCTCACAAGAAACTCATAGTATATGCAGCACAATAAGATTGTATCTTCTTACCCACAAATATGTGGGTTAAATATGATAAAGGAATTTGAAACCATTTTCAAAAGTGAATCTTGAATTCGAGATCAAAATCCATTTCGTGCTTAGTACTACTACCTATTATTAGCGTTCAGCACTAGTTCTTAATTACTAACAGTAATTATTGGTACTATGCGTTGAGGAGAAAATAAATATGTTTAAAAGTTAATGATATTGGCGCTACCCTGGTAATATTGTTGTTTAATTCCACCATCCTTTCCCCCTGGCCAAAGCGCTAAATTCGGATTTATCCTAAAACGCTGTGAGGGATTGTGTTGTATAATTTTTTAGCGTTCTTTTAATAATGATGATGATAATCATACTGAGTTTCATAAAGCGCTAATCCCGCAGTGTCATCAGACAGTCCTAGCGTCAACGTTGGGTTTTCACTATGCACTTCTCAATATATACACTTGTAATCTCATCCTTTGCCTCACCGAACGTCTCCCTCGACCCTTTCCAAGTCCAATATTAAAGTTCTACTAACACGTTTCTCTGAACCCATTTATAAATGTTTCTTCCCTCATACTCCAACAGCATGTAAAGCCATTAAACCACTTATGTCCAGTGACTCCGATTTAAAAAGCTCGCAAATCTGATGGATGCTCCAGCCCCCAGCACTCAAATGCTCAAATCCTCTTTCACACCTACCCAGGATGGGTAGGGGCCGTCCCATCCTGGGCCGACTCTTACCCATCCCGCCTTCAACCCCAGATTTATACATCCTCTTGGTAATATATTCTGTATCATTCTCTGTAAATTCTCAAATCACCTCAAAACCATCTCTTCAAATTCTTTTGGTAATCCCACACCATCTAATAACTGATATGCTCAGAATTCTCTGCATAATATTCACATCACACATTGTTCTCAAGCATGATTATTCAGTCTCCAGGCTCATCCTCACTGCAACGTTTAAATCTCATGCCTCACACCAGCTTGTACTGTTATGCACTGGTTCGTTTCTTTTCTGTCTCTATTCAGACTTTTCATTAACTTATATTTTTAATTATGCTAGAAAACTGATAAATTTTTACCTACACAGCTTAAATGAGAGTATTTATAGTAGTCATAGGTGAAGGGGTGAATTCTAACTCATATGGGACATACAGCATCTCAGGAAATTGAAAGATATCAAAGGGTTCTAAACCAATGTATAGTGATTTTTAAGTATGATAGATCAGACTATAAATTTTGTAGCAGTCCTCGAGAAATATTTTCGAGTTATCACACGAGAAAAAATACCACACAGATTTTTAAAACAAACTAACCATACTGGCGCCTACACACACTAGTGACAGTCCACATCTTTCTCTAACTTGGCCCTTCAAGGGAGGTTCCTTGACGCTGGTGAGGTGCTCTTGATCTAGGGAATTGAATCTGTGCTCAAGTTTCTTGAACTGAGTCTATACTTTCTATCCCCCCTCCCCCCTACAGTCGCTGTATAATCCCTACAGGTTTAGCGCTCCCCCATGATTACTATAATTATCTAACTTGGACACACCGGAATAAAAATCTGGAGCCTATCAGAAGAAGCGTTTTCAATTAATTTTATGGAGCCTGCCTCACTCTTTGTATAATATTCGCTCTTAACAGAGCTGTAACAATCCGAACCACCTAATATACACCGATGCTGAAAGTTTGAAGGCAGTCAGAAGTGAAGTTATTGTACAGTTTCGAGGGACAACAGATGATAACTGAACACCTGAGTAAGTCTGGACAGGTGTCAGTAGTACAGGTATATATTTCCCTGTACTATCATAAATTTCTTTAGACTGTTTTACTGTGCTCAGTAATAGCCCATATGGTAAACTCTGAAGACTTAATTGGTCTGTACATTTCGATCCCCTTCTGGGATCCTCTTCAACGGATCTGCTGAAGAGGATCCCAGAAGGGCATCGAAATATACAGCTGAATTAATCTTCTGAGTTTCTCTCTCCATTTGGGTTATTAGTAAACATTGACAAGTATTCATTACACTTGTTTTACTGTATTTAAACGAATGAGCGCTAAACGCGTCGAGGGGTCACACAGCGCCCAGGAGGGAGTGAAAGACAATGAGGTTCGATCCATGGACAAGGGTATGTGTAGATTCAATTCTCTGGAACAAGAGCTCCTCACCGGCATCAAGCCACTTCCCTTGAGGAGTCTTCACTCTGTAAAGTCTATATTTTTTTCTTCTTAAACTTTTATATCTCTCAAGATTTCTTAATTTAAACTTTTATATCGTTTAATAAGTTTCCTGGTGCGCTAACTTCTCGCAGCGCCTCGTTCTGGAACGAAAGTTTCTCATCTTTTTGTTTCTTGCACTTCTGTACTCTCTCCTTTACCGTTACACTATCGTCTCATTTTTGCGAGACCAGAGCTATCTCCCGAGGAAGCCTCGCCTGTTGCTGTTGCTGCTGCAGGAGACACAGCAGACACAACAGCACACCAGTAAGGAAATGAACAGCCAGAGAAACAACAGCAAAAGCTGGAGCAGAAGCAGTAGGTATATATCCAGGAATAACAGCATCAGCAGCAGGAAGGCGAGAATTATGATGCTCGAAAGCAAGTGGTCAAGCAACACAGGCGGGTTAGGTTGTAATGGTAGGGGTTAGTGAAAGTGTAGAATTAACATCATAGCTAGTGCAATAAGTTAGTCTTCGTTAATAATTCACAAAAGTCACAGAAGACCGCAGACAGAATACATGCTATGGGGCCAAAGGCTACAAATTTCACTCAAAGAAAAGGATCTTGGGGTGAGTGTCATACCGAGCATATCTCATGAGGCGCACATCATCCAAATATGGGCGCCTGGTAAACCTAAGAAAAGCGTTTCGATTCCTAAGCAAGACACTGTACACTGTGCGTTAGACCCTTATTGGAGTATGCAGCACAAGTATGGAACCCACACCTAGTGAAGAGCCTCAAGATAGTGAAAAAGTTGGCAACAAGACTAAGTCTCCCAGGTAAGGAGTACGTCCGGAGGAAAGGTTAAAGAAAATCAACCTGACGACACTGGAGGACAGGAGGGATAGAGGACACATGATAACGACATACTGAGAGGACCTCACAAGGTGCATAGTGACAATATTTCAGAGATGGGACACAGCAACAAGAGGTCACAACTGGAAGTTGTGACTCCTTGTTGCTGTGTCCCATCTCTGTTAGGAAGTATTTTTTTCATTCAGACTGGGGAACAATCTGGAGAGTTATGTAGTGGAGGAAAGATCTATACATAGGTACAATAAGCTCTTGGAATAGGGAGTGTGTGGACCTAGTAGCGACCAGCGAAAAGGCGAGATCAGGAGCTGTGATTTGACTAACTCCTCAAAAACAGGAGAGTACACACACACACACACACACACACACACACAGTAGCAAGGAACAGCTGATCATAAAAGACAGTTCCCTGAGAATAGAAGTTTCAGATAGGACAGGGACTGAAGGCAAGAACATTTCAATGGAAGGAAACAAAACACCTCAGAGGATGCAAATGGAGACTCAGTGGGAGGAGGAAAGGGAGAGGTCAGTTTTTATCTACAGGCTTCAAGAAGCCAAGGGGACAACTTCGAAGAAATAAAACAGGAGAAGGAAAAAATGATTGAAGGCATCATGAAAACAATAGGTGAGGACGATATGACCCAGGCGACAAATTTTCGGAGAATTGGGTGGTTTGCGAGTGGAAGGATACGGCCTGTCAAAGTAATTATCAAGGAAGAATCAGTTCGAACCAGAATTCTGCAAGAGAAAGCACGACTGAGGGACAAACAGGGGCACCAGAGAGTATACCTCGATCGCGACAGAACACAAGAAGAAAGGATTACACTGAAAGAGAGGGTACAGAGACGCAAGGAGGAACGAGAGGCAATGATGAAGATGAGCAGGACCCAGACACAGGAGGAAGGGCAAACACACCCCGCAGAATCTCCCACCGAAAGACTCCAACCGCGACAATCCCAACGTAACTGAGCAACCCAAACCACAACCCACTCACTGTTCCCTCTTCCAGCAACACCCACATCACAAACCTCACCCCAACAGCTGTCCCTTATGGGCATTCTGACCCCACCCCCATCACAAACCCCACCTACACCACAGCCCCCTATAGGCCCCCACCAAGGCTACCGCTCCTCCAACCCCAATATTCTTGCAGGACCACAGTGATAGAAAAGAAGCTGAAAGTTTGGTACACAAACGCGGACGGAATAGCGAATAAACATGAGGAGTGGCACGAAAGAATCAGTGAGAAATCCCCAGACATCATAGCAGTCACAGAAACAAAACTCGCTGAGACAATAACAGACACAATCTTCCCACCGGGATATCAGATCATGAAAAAAGATAGGATGAGTAAAGGGGGAGGAGTTGCACTGCTCATAAAAAGCCGATGGGGATTCGAGGAAATGGAAGGCATGGACGTGATTGGACAGAGACTACATAGTAGGTACAATTCAGTCTGGAGAACAAAGTAGTCATTGGAGTGATGTATAACCCACCACAGAACTGCAGGAGGCCAAGAGAGGAGTACGAAGAAAACAACAGGGCGATGGTGGACACTGGCTGAGGTGGCAAGAAGAGCTCACTCGAGCAGAGCAAAGTTACTGGTAATGGGCGATTTCAACCACAGGGAGATCGACTGGGAAAACCTGGAGCCACATGGGGTCCCGAAACATGGAGAGCCAAGATGATGGATGTGGTACTTGAAAACCTCATGCATCAACATGTCAGGGACAATACAAGAGAGGGGAGGATGAGCCAGCAAGACTGGAACTTGTGTTCATCCTGAGCAGTTCAGACATTGAGAACATCACTTACGAGAGGCCCTCTGGAGCTACCGATCACGTGGTTCTGAGTTTTGATTATATAGTAGAGTTACAAGTGGAGAAGGTAACAGGAACTGAATGGGAAAAGCCAAACTACAATAGGGGGTACTACACAGGTATGAGGAACTTCCTGCAGGTTCAGTGGGACAGAGACCTGGTAGGAAAATCAGTAAACGAGATGATGGAATATGTAGCAACAAAGTGCAAGGAGGCAGAGGAAAGGTTTGTTCCCAAGGGAAACAGAAATAATAGGAAGACCAAAGGGAGTCCTTGGTTTACTCAAAGGTGTAGGGAGGCAAAAACTAAGTGCACCAGAGAATGGAAAAGGTACAGGAGGCAAAGGACCCAGGAAAATAAGGAGATTAGTAGAAGAGCCAGAAACGAGTATGCACAGATAAGGAGGGAGGCCCAGCGACAGTACGAAAACGACATAGCATCGAAAGTCAAGTCTGACCCAAAACTGCTGTATAGCCACATTAGGAGGAAGACAACAGTCAAAGACCAGGTGATAAGGCTGAGGAAAGAAGGTGGAGAACTCACAAGAAACGATCAAGAGGTATGTGAGGAGCTCAACATGAGATTTAAGGAAGTATTTACAGAAGAGACAGGAAGGCCTCTCAGGGTACAGACCAGATGGTGACACCAGC